TCGCGGTTCTATCCAGCAAAGTCTGCAGTTAATTGATATATGAGCCAGCGTCTTCAGCTTCAGACATCAAGTTTCAATTTGGTCTTGTTCCTGCAACTTCAACCCCTGTTATACCAGGATCACTAGGTAAGGATTCCGAGCTTGCTCGCTCTCTCCACGCGCAGGTACTTCAAGTTCGATACATCTTCCGACAACCGGTTATTGTAAAGTCTTGCCTCGGATCCGGGTCTGTGGACCTTTTACCCAACTTCTGGTCGTGTCTGGCAAGGATCGTACCATGACACGCGCAGTGGATCATTGTGCGGCTCGCACAGCATTCAATGAGTCGGGTAAATGGAGGCGTCGTCTTGGCCCTTTGATCAGATTCGTCCGAGTCGCTCCAAGAAACCCACAAGTGTCTACATATACTTTTGCTGCAGACCCGCAAGCATGCCACTCACGCGATAGCTCTTCCAACTCTCTTCGTTGAATGTTTCTCCTAACTCCTGCACTGCTACTCGTCGCCGGAGAAGGGGGGGCCCCGGATCTGAGTGAGGGGACAGCCTCTCGCCTAGTATGGCCAAGGTTCAGCCAAATGCTCCAATCCGCGGGCGTTGATTTCCATCCACGGCCAATCACCAACATTAAGATTTGACAGACGGACGAGATGGAAACATGGAGTCAGTGTGTCTGGGGCATGTTGCCACTGGTGCATTATCCGAAGGTGAATGGGAAGAGGGAGGCAGAAACAATACAAAAAGAAGTCACAAGGAGCCTCTCTCGGATGAGACCTACTATCCAGCACTTCTGGTTCCTGTTTCTTCTCCTCTACGTGACTTGACATGCCACCTGAAAATATGTCTTCAATTGCTCCCAGCAGTCTCGTTTCTTCTACCAAGCATGTTATTGCTACCTACCCAGTTCTCTTGGTCGTGGGCCTGCTGGTTGTCTCGTTGCTCTACAACAGATTCAGACCAGGACTCAGAAGCATTCCCGGCCCCCCAGTCGCGGCCTACACCAAGCTGTGGAGGCTATATGATGTCTACAAAGGACAAGCTCATATGACGGCCATCGACCTCCACAGGAAGTACGGCCCCGTGGTTCGCATCGGACCCAACCATGTGTCCATCTCCGACCCTTCGCTGATACCCGTCATCTACGGGATCAAGGAGAACTTCACAAAGTCCGCCTTTTACCCGATCCAGTGTGTCTCGTGGAAGAAAAAGCCCGAGATGAACCTCTTCTCGACCCGCGACCCAGAATACCATCGCATTGAGAAGCGCAAGATCGGAGCCGCGTATAGCATGCCGAACCTGTTGCAGTCAGAGGCAGCCATCGATTCCTGCGTCACTCTGTTCATGGATCGCCTCGATGAATTTGCGTCCAAGAGAGAACCGGTGGACCTCGGTGCCTGGCTCCAATACTTTGCCTTTGATGTCGTCGGAGAGGTCACGTTCGCGAGCAAGCTCGGGTTCCTCGAGCAGGGTACAGATGTCGATGTGAGTGTCGCCAGTTCAACATCGGGACGACCGGCCTCTTTACTGACCGTCAACGCAGGGTATGATGAAAGCGATCGAAGGCATGCTCACGTACGCAGCACTCTGTGGCCAGGTGCCTGAACTGCACCACGCCCTCCTGGGCAACCCGCTGTTCACCCTGCTCATGCCCGCCATGGAGACGTGGAACCAAGTGCTCGTCTTCACCCTCAAGGCAATCAACGGCCGGGCCAGCATCAAACGAGACGGCGAGTTGATCAACGCGGACGTCGAGGGCCGTGACATGCTGAGTCGCTGGGCATATGTCAAGTCGTCGGACCCCCTGAAGATGAGCACGCGGGACATCGTGGTCCACCTCTCGACCAACGTCTTTGCCGGCAGCGACACGACCGCCATCGCCCTCCGCGCCATTGTGTATTTCCTCTGCCGCCACCCCGAGTGCATGGCCCGCCTGGTCGATGAGATCGACAGCGCAGACAAACAGGGCCGACTCAGCCACCCCATCACCTTCAAGGAAGCCACCACGGTGCTGCCCTACCTCGGCGCCGTCGTCAAGGAATCCATGCGTCTCCACCCCTCGGTCGGCCTGCTCATGGAGCGCCACGTCCCGGCCGAGGGTCTCACCGTCCACGGCCACCACATCCCCGCGGGCACGATCGTCGGCATCAACCCGTGGGTCACGAACCGGTCAGCCGTCTTCGGTCGCGACCCAGACGCCTTCAACCCGGACCGGTGGCTGACCGCGCCCGAGGCCCAGGTCAAGGAGATGGACAACATCTGGGAACTGAACTTTGGCGCCGGCAGCCGCAAGTGCATCGGCCGCAACATCTCGTGGATGGAGATCCACAAGGTCGTCCCCGAGCTGCTCAGGCAGTTTGACGTCGAGCTGACGTACCCCGAGAGGGAGTGGCAGACGTGTAATCACTGGTTCGTCCAGCAGGACGGGGTCATCTGTACCTTGAAGAAGAGGTGAATGAACCCCCACGGAAGAGGAGGATTTAGATAGGGGCGTCGAAATGAGAAGTGAGGAGTGAAGGGTGAGAGGTGCTAACAGGGACCCTTGGGTTTTGTACTCGAAATGATATTCTGTTTGCTCCTCTTGACACACCCTGATGCCCTGACGCCGTGGATTGGGTCGAGTTGGGTTGAAACGAGGCGAGCTGCATCTATATATCAAGCAAAGAGTCTCCAATAAGCAAGCAAGCAAGGCCCCCTCCCTGCATGCACCATGACGTTCATATTGATACCATATCATTGAGACAACATGTCTTCTCCTACCTGTTATACTCTCTACCTATATGTACTGTCCTCTGTCATTTCAACCCTGTTAGCTCTGAGCGTCTCCTATACTCTGTGATCCCATCCATCTGTCCACCTTTTTTTTTTTAATAATCCACAATACTTCTTTCTGCGCTATCCTCTTTGACCTTTGGTATTCAGAACCCGCCTCTCTTGCATTGAACCCTACAAAGTACATTAGTACATACTTCGTCCCTCCATTCCACCACACTTCACTTTGACCATTGTCCACATTGTCCACATGATGTGATCGACAAAACGCCTAGCCCGGGCCAGTCGTGTCCAAGAATCTTCCTTCAGACTCCTTTTACTCGCTCAGAAACGCAAAGAAGACGATCAAGTTGCCGTGCAGATCGACGAGGTCGAACTGGCGATATCCCCATGGTTTGTCCTCACATGGTCCCAGGCGAGTCTGCTGCGGGTGGACCAATGCAGGTGTAGACGCCGACACGGGGATCCCCGTCCACGCAGCCGCGTCTGAAGAAGGCTGCAACAACCCCTGCGCCACGAGGCGTGCGTATAGTTCCTCCAGCGCAGTCACCGAGTCGATCATGATCATGCAGCTGCCCCGTGCTCGCTTCTCGTCCTGAATGATGTATATGTTGGCCGCGGCCGCGGGTCCCGTCCAGATGGACGCGAACGTCGGGTCTGTCGTATCGGTTGGGTGTGGGGAGATGGTAAAGTCCGGAAAGTAGGTTTTGTAAAAGGTCAAAAGGGAGGGGAGGTGGGGGGAGGTGAAGAAGGGGATGATCTTAACGGCGTGCTGCGAGAGGGACATTTCTGGAAAAGGGGACAAGGAGAAGAAGATTCTATGCGGTGAAGGGGATCAGTCCCCTGAAAATTCGAGTGGTAGATTTGGGTGCGCAAGACAGTATTTTGTCGACGAGGGGTAACAGATGTCGGTTTATATCGTGGGCTACCTTCCACCGACGTTGAAGCTGCTCGCTTCTGCGCCGCCCTTGGCCGTGATACAGAAACTACCTGCCCAAGACTTCAGAGAGTTGCATCGGCCACAAAAGTTTAACTCTCACGATAGCAGTTGGAAATGATGCCGGCGTTCAAAGCAAATGGAATGATTCCTCCCTCTGAAAGCAAGTGTTGAGGGTGTTGAAGGAGTTTTGGCCCAAGTCATCGTGACCAATCATCGCCATTGAGATGAAGCATGGAACCTGGTTGCCTGGTGGGTGCCTGGTGTGCCTGGCCCTCAGCTCGCCAAGCATCACCCCGCATTGCGATCAGTCGCCACGTGGGCGCATCTTCCGTCACAGCTAATGCATATCCGTCGATCACTTCAAAAGATCAATGTATGTTACCGTACGCAAGACGCAACAAGATGTTCAAGACACCAACCTACCGGGAGAATGCCCTATTTGCACCGGAGATACCCCGGCCAATTTATTAGATTGACGTCCGTCAGTGCCCCATGGAAGGTCCCGGCATTGAGAGCGAGCATATTCGCAGGCATTCTGGCCCAGTGGGTTGAGATGACTGACATCTATTAGAGAAGTTTTCTTGCAGAATGGGCCAACACACATCTTGTCATTCTTTTTGATCTTGAAAGCTTCATAGCTGATTTCACTGAGTTTGACTGTCGGGAATGTGTTGCAAAACAAAAAGCTAAAGAATACCTGCCACCCAGCCACCTTTCCGTCTTTGTCTGGAATTTACAGTTCAATCGTGGCGCAAAACGAGCCATAACAAGAAAATCCAAAGGTGGCAGTACACACAAGAAGCTTTTCTAGGGTATATCTAACCTCGCTAACCCCCTTGACTACAATGCTTCGGTACAAGGGATTTTGAAGCAATTCGAACGGTAGTGGCACAGTGGCCTTGTGCTGTCCTGTAATTGTGGATATGTCAACCTTTGCAGGATAAATGAACGTTGATCTTTCATCTGTCTTCACGAATGAGAGGCTGTTTGCTGAGTGTGCACAGATTTAGCTGTATAGCGAATCACCATCTCATCCAAGCTACGTCCTTAAATTGCCACATTCGGGCATGGTTGAGCAGTATTTTTGGTGGAGATCACCCTCTGCCTAGCGGCGTATTGTGGCTAGTATTGGAAGGTAGAATGTCGCGAAGGGGTGTAATTCCACCGATAATTCAGATCCTCGGCTATTAACTAACGAAAACTGGCCCCTATTCTACCTTGAGATATGAGAAAGTCCTGCTGAACGTGACCCCCGAAAGTTGCAGATGCCGGCGATGAATCCAGCCTTACACGAGCTAAAAGGGTGACCCGTTCTTGATCATGTCTTCTTCCCAGCCAATGCAGTCGCGAGCCGTGTCGGGGTAATCATCAAAATATTCGTCAAGCTCGTCGTCATCCCAGTAGTCTTGCTCTCCGCCATCAACCCACCGATCCTCCTCCTCGTCATAGACCATCCCATCACTAATCATGAACAAGTCATCATTCCAATTATCCGAGTACTCTTCAATGAACTCCTGATTCCAAGCACTCCGCATTCTGTTCTCGCTCTGTGGGTCGTATTGGGGTCTTTTAGAGACGTGGATGCGTACTTGGGTGGTTTCACGGATGAGACAGCGCCACATGGCTTTATCGGGCGGTTTCAGTCCGACGCTGTAGATATCCCACAGGGATGCCAACATCGTCGCCTTCCGTGCACTGTATCGCACCATTCCCGTCCCCAAAGAACGGTTGTCATCAGATTTTTCTCCCAAGTCGACCACGTTCATTGTATCCGATAAATCACGATGTTGTTTTTGCACGCAGCTGCTAAAGCTCGCGAGGTGGTCTTTTGAACCCTTTCGCAGGGCCAATTCCATGAGCTGGACGTCGAAGATGCCGTTGAGGGAGGTTTTGAAAAGACCGAATAGTGCATTGGAGCCGTTTCGGACGTCAAATACGACCTTCGGGGAGAGAGGGGATTCTAGGATATTGTTGAGAGAGTTGCCCTTGCCGTCGGTCGTGAAAAGGGCTTCTCTTCCCAGGACGTCGACGTCAACCACGTAGACCTTGTTTCGGGGGCGGACGTAAATCGAGATGAGCGAGATAGATCTATGGCGGCCCAAGTTGACTCCTTCTATGTCCATATACAATGAAGGTGGCTTTCCAGGATTATTGACCCACTCTGCTAGTCTTGTGGCAAGCACCGAAGCGGTCGTGATGACCTCGACTTCTTTCTCAGAAGACATGATCTGATATTCGATGAGGGTTTGTAGAGGCACTCTGTAACTCTTCTACTCGCAGTAGAGATACAATACTATCAAACTCGGCTAGGCTGGCGTTTCCAAACCCCACCATTTTGAACATACCCCGCTAGGTTTCCCCACGTGACTCTATTGCTTGAAATTCTTGCCATTCTTACTGGTCACTAAAAGTGGCGGGCGGAGATGTGGTTAAATCGAATATATCGTTGTCGCTATCAATGTTGGATCACCATTACAGCAGAGATTTACATGGCGAGGAAGCCTCAAAGCCCACCGTCTTCTAGTTGAGGCCGATGGCAGCCAGCAAACCTCATTGGAATATTAGGCTTGCCTTCTCTGAAATCTTCTTCTGAGACGATTGACATGACCTTCTCCTGCTTTTGGTTTATGGCCCACACAAGGTGCCGACAACAGACTGGTCTGGATGCCATCCACTCTCCTTCTCTCTTGATTCTCGTCTCGTACCGGATCCATGAACACTGCCGCCCGCACGCGGTCCCGGAGCCTTTTTCAGCAATGGACTGGGAAACTGTTGGGGGTTGGGTGTTGGATGCTTCAAACGAAAGTTGCCATGGAATGTGCGTTTGTCCCTCGATACTGCGACATGTATCCGCCGAGGAGGGCATCTCCATTTGATACGAGTCACTGCTGGTTGAACTGTTCAGGCTTTGTAGGCGTGACGATCTTCATGCAGAGAACCTCGTTGTCGTCATACTCGAGTATTCTCTTCCAAAGTGAACCCTCGCCGAAGAAGCTGTTCAAATCGCTCTCATCTCCATCGTAAGTTATCAACCACCCTCTGTTGACTTGCTGGATTTCTTTGATTCCAGGCAACCTGCACGTAGCGTCCTCCACATTCGCAATATCTGCTTTGATGCGATAATAGTGCTGATAGAATCTGTGTTTGTGGTTCGCTTCATGGGAGGTCGGCATGTTCTTGTCGTTTGTGTTGCCTCCAAGTTTTGATAACCGATGATGATAGCTTGAGAATAGCTTTTGTTATGTCGACTTTGTCTTTGGCTCCCAGAGGATGACCACTTCGGTTTAATACCCTCCTCTCTTGCTGAAGCGACATCACTCTCCGCGGCTTGCATTCAACACTCTGTTGGTAGACCCTCCAGAGATGGGCAATGTCCTCTCATGGATGTAAATCTATAGAGTTACGGTAGATTGATCCATGTCTGCCTGCCATGTGCCTGATGTCCAATACATGAAGTTCCACGATTAATTAGCTACAACATCAGGTATATGCAAATCGGGGGGCTCGTCCTGGATTGCTATTGACTTGCGCCCCATGGACGGATAGGTTTGGTGAGTGGTGAGCTGTGCTGTTTGAAATTCTCGGGATTGCTCCGGCCATGACGACTTCGGAACAGAGAAATCCATGTCGTACAGGGATGGAGTAGGGTTTTGAGCTCCCACCAAGGCATCACATAACCAAGTCGCTGAAATCGAACTCTGACCAGCGTATCCGCTGCAGATGACGGAACATTATGCTGAAAGAAGACGTCTCTCGTGACATGAGCTCAAGCTGTAGATCGCTGAGATGCGAGGCGCCGACCACATCTGCTTGACCAAAATTCAGACCGCCTCTCCCAGTTTGACTGCCCGAGGTAGAGAGTCGAGTAGGCGTGACAGCTGATACCTTGATGATCGTCTTGCCGAAGCATCTGATAGACAGAAGACCCGATCAGCCGCGTTACAATGGTCTCATCCTACCCTTCCATCCCTCGAGCAGTATCCTACACACGTTTCATCCCAAATGCCAACGATCTGCGACTTGTAATGTCTTGCCCACTTCTTGCGTTGAACCGATAGTGCCATGCCAACATTTGTGTATCAAGTCTCCCAAAGGCAGGCTTTCAACATCAGGAGATTGGCCTTCGGCGTATCGTTGCTCGACGGGCTGTGCTCGATGCTCGTTCGCCATGAGGTCTTCATGAGGAGGCTGGCCAGTCATGACTTCGTAGATCATGCATCCAAATGCGAAAATGTCGGTCTGTATGCTTGTACTCGGTGTTGATCGTCGATAACTGAACCACCCGTAACAGGAACCCACCCCAGCACCATCGATGCTACAACCTTCAAAGTCAATTATCTTAAGCCGATCATGCACCAAGATGGCATTCTGACATCTGACATCCGACATCGCAGTGTATTATCCCCTTTTCGTGTACGTGTTGTAATCCATTTGCGAAATCCATCAGCAAGCGAATATTTCCTCGTAGTGGTATCTGGTCTGCACCCCGCTGTTGACATACATTCCGGAGGACCTGCCCACGTTCAAGAACTATTGAACCGTCTGGAGTAACACCTAGGTATTTCACAATATTCTAATGTGCTCCTAGACGGTCATATGCATGCTGCTCAACGATATTCTCGCCGTCGTAAGGGTCTGTAAACGATTTGAGGACTGTTTTGTCGTCGATCGCGTACACAGTGCCTGATTTGCCGCCCCCAAGGTATTTGAGGTCGTCAAATGAGATCGCTACCGGCATGGGCGGTCTGGATCGAAGAATGGTGTTGTATTCAGAGCAAGGCACGTTACGGCTTGCCATAGAGAATCTGGAAAACCGTTGCGGACGCCCGAAAATAAGCTGAGTCCGTCAAGGTTGGAGTAAACAGAAGATACGCAATGGTCACGATCCGCCAACCTGGAGAAAGAAGACTTTCTTCCGTCAAGTGCTACGATGCAGGGGTTCAGCTTTGGTATCAGGATGTGGTGTATGTTGTTACGACTACACTCACAATCCGTCAATACTAATTACGGTAGGTGGGCATGGACAATATGTACTGGCATCCAAGGAGTTCAATACCATTATAATGCCAATTGATGCGTCTCGTTGAGGCTTGCAAGGCGAGCAAGGGCGATACAACTGTCCAGAACTAGCGAGGTGCAACTCAGGAACAGGCACAGATGGTGCCGCCCTACGACGCAGGCGTGGAAGGGCAAACTGCGCCGCAGGTGAGAATAGGGCAGCGTCACCCAGACCTGGTGGCGGGATGAGTTCGGAGTAGTTGCAACTCATCTTGGCAACCCCCGGCCTGCGGTTCAGACTCCTGGACTCCGTGAAATGTGCCAGATCATCTGTTGACGCTGTCTTTCCTCCACCCGCCCGGACTGTGTCAGCTGTCAATACTTTTCCACTGCCACTAGAGCCCTGCTTGAAGAGACTCTGAATCTTACAAACCCATGGATCGAGCAGCCTCATGAGATGGCAAGGTAGCCACTCAATATCAGCCACCCCGTTTCAATCGTTCGTTCACATTCCGCGTCCCACTCAAGCCCGAACAAGATGGCGATGAACAGGGTGAGGAACGCCTTTGCGCCTCCAAAGAAAGGGGAAACTTTTGAATTGCGAGCTGGTCTTGTGTATGTGTTCCAACACCCGTTCAAATGGTTGGGCTAACTGAGTAATACCAGATCTCAATATGCCTACGAACGGTGAGCCTGACCTAAGGTGATGTAGCCTGTACAAGAGTCTCATGTCTTGATTTAGGAAAGAGGCCATTCAAAAGACTATCATGGCCATGACCTTGGGCAAAGACGTTTCCGCACTTTTTCCGGACGTCCTCAAAAACATTGCGACCTCTGACCTCGACCAGAAGAAACTAGTCTACTTGTACTTGATGTCAGTGCGCCGGAACTCGACCGACATCTCCAGATTGCTGATTACGACCACAGGAACTATGCGAAATCACACCCTGACCTCTGCATCCTCGCCGTCAACACCTTCGTACAAGATTCCGAAGATCCCAATCCCCTCATCCGCGCACTGGCAATCCGAACAATGGGATGCATAAGAGTTGACAAAATGATCGACTACATGGAAGAACCACTACGAAAGACACTCCGAGACGAATCACCCTATGTTCGAAAGACTGCCGCGATCTGCGTCGCAAAACTGTTCGATCTCAATCCTGCCATGTGCCTCGAGAATGGCTTCCTGGAAACACTGCAAGAGATGATTGGTGATCCGAACCCGATGGTGGTAGCCAACTCCGTGCAAGCACTTGCCGAAATCAATGAGTCCGCACCCGACACGAGCGCTCTACACATCACACCCAACACATTGAAGAAACTCCTGATGGCTCTGAATGAGTGTACGGAATGGGGTCGTGTCACGATCCTGAGTACATTGGCAGAATACAAGGCGCAGGATGTCAAAGAAGCCGAGCACATATGCGAAAGAGTGGCGCCGCAGTTTCAGCATGTCAACTCGAGTGTGGTCGTCGCTGCCGTCAAGGCGGTTTTCCTGCATATGAGATACCTTCCATTGGAAACGCAGCAGTCTTATCTGAAGAAGATGGCACCTCCCTTGGTCACGCTAGTATCTTCTGCGCCGGAAGTGCAGTACGTGGCGCTACGCAATATCGACCTCCTCCTGCAGAAGCAACCCGATATTCTCAGCAAAGAAATCCGAGTCTTTTTCTGCAAATACAACGATCCGCCTTATGTCAAGTTTCAAAAACTCGAAATAATGGTCCGTATAGCAAACGAGGCAAACGTGGATCAACTACTGGCCGAACTGAAGGAATATGCCTTGGAAGTAGACATGGATTTTGTGCGTCGAGCCGTCAAGGCCATTGGACAAGTTGCCATCAAGATCGAAAGTGCCAGTGAACGTTGTGTCAATGCCCTGCTAGACCTCATCAACACAAAAGTCAACTATGTGGTACAAGAAGTGATTGTTGTGATCAAGGATATTTTCCGGAAATACCCAGGTTATGAAGGAATCATCCCAACATTATGCAAATGTATCGATGAGCTGGATGAACCAAATGCGCGAGGGTCTTTGATCTGGATCGTCGGGGAGTATGCTGAAAAAATCAGCAATGCTGGCGACATCCTCGGCGGGTTTGTGGATGGATTTGCCGAAGAGTTTACACAGGTACGCTTCCTGGATCCCCTCTCAACGCACTTTACTGACAATCAACCAGACCCAGCTTCAGATCCTCACCGCGGTGGTCAAGCTGTTCTTGAAGCGGCCACAAGCCGCCCAAGGTCTCGTCCAGAAGGTTCTCAATGCCGCAACTGCCGAAAGCGACAATCCCGACATTCGCGATCGAGCTTATGTATACTGGCGGCTCCTCTCCAACACAAGCGACCAGAACGCGCCCAAGAACATCATCCTCTCAGAAAAGCCACCCATAACCACCACAATCCAATCATTACCACCAGCACTCCTTGAAAGGTTGCTCGGCGAGCTCTCAACATTAGCTTCAGTCTATCACAAACCCCCAGAGCAGTTCGTGGGCCAAGGCCGCTTTGGAGCCGATGCGGTACAACAAGCTGCAATCGAAGAACAAATGCAAAATGCCCGCGAAAATCCATTGGCAGCGGCCGCGGCAGCGGCAGCGGTCCAGGGTAAGGCTCCCGAAGCACAAAACAACATTGAAAACCTCCTCGACATCGATTTCGATGGTGCGGCACCTGCATCGGCGTCGGAAAAGCCCTCGGACGGTCTCTCAGGCTTGGAAGGTCTTGCAGGGACACCGCAAAGGGTGGCTTCACCGACCGTCAGTCAGCCTGCTGCGGCCAATAACATGGATGACCTACTTGGCGTGTTTGGCAATGGATCATCTTCAACTGTGCCGTCGACATCGTCTGCATTTGGCGGAATGACTGATAGTGACATTCTGAACGGCTTCGCTTCGATGGATCTTTCTCAGTCGCAGCCCCCACCCCCTAAACAGCAACTTGACAACTCTGGCGGAAAGAAGACGAACGAGGACTTGTTGTCACTTTTCTAGCCTGAGAATGTCAATCACTTCAATCTCTATATGCATAGAAGAATATGCCTCCTGCAGACATATTTAGAACCCGAGCCTCTGGCTCTCTTGCCCAAATTCCAGAGCGTGTCAGCATTTAAAGGACCACCACTGAAGCGTTGTACACTACTGGGGGTCTGAGACTATCCAAGCTCCACTTCCTCTCCCCGTGGAGTGGTACAGGAGCTCAAGCCTTTTGGACATTTTCTGTTTATCGCTGTGAGCGTTTGTGCCTTTTCGCAGACCGGTCGTTTATACTCATGTTCAGGTCCTTCTGGCTACCAGCACAACCCAGCGACCTGCCAGCTTATGAGCAGACTTACCACCAAACTCTGGGTTTATGGCCGAGGCTCATCCTTTAATGAGCTATGGTACCATCTCTGGCCAGGTCGGGTCAACTGGAGGCAAGATTAATTTCTGGGCTCATCATTGATTTGAACCCAGCACACAATACACATGCTCGCGTGCAAACGGAGAACGGCAACTGCACAAGATCTGAAATAGTATGCATAGAAACGACATTTGAAAGTGCAGCGACGATTGCTGCACTAACCATTAGCGAATGAAGACGTGACTGTTATGGCTTGATTTTCTGTAGTTTTCGTCTTCCGCTGAGTTTCTCGTGATTGTTAAAGTAGCCCGCGACTTAACGGGTCTATTAGAACTAGCAGGACGTGCATCGTCAAGTCGTCCGGAGTCTTGCTTGTGGTAGGTATGGGACCTGCTGAGGTTGACGTTGACAAGGCTGAGCCTCAAGGCTACAAAATGTGCCATCACGGACTAAGCTGTACGGGCACTAAGCTCTTTTTGGCCACGCACAAACAAATGACTCTGTCTGACGAGGAGACAGTAACGAATGGCCAGGCGTAGAAAATCTGTATTAGACCACGTCAGACCGTGTCAGACTGCCCCTTATTTCTGCAGTCGATTCAACGCGTCTGGGGCTCGCATCAAAAGGCAAATCATTTCCTTTACATCCCAGACTGCACATTGTACATGGCACATTGCCCGCTGTACTCAAACTCCCACATCTTATTATCTCACCACCCAAGTGACACCTTTTCGACACTGACGGCCAAGGTTTCACTTTGCGAACTCACTCGTTGATTGTTACCCTCGAAACTTTCATTCGCTTTGACACGCTACGCCGCTAAAGCCCAGCAGCCAAAGTTCACTGTCACTTGAAGTCGCGCCCGATAAATTGGCATCATATGCGGAATGACCAACTAAGCCTACTCAATCACCGAAGTCGCACCCTCCATTCCCTCTATCTACCAAATTTTGCATAGACCCCTCCAAGGGCCAGAGAGGCTTTGCCATGGTCGTCTGCAAATACTTCCTGCAGGGAAACTGCAAATTTGGCGGTACGTTTCTAATGCTGCCTTGACAGTCCACATCCTGTCTCGGCCTGCTCCCACCGGACGTAACTGACGCGATCATCTCACAGCCAATTGCCGGAACGAACATCCCGGAGGAGGTGGTGGTTTTGCAAATCAGAACAGATTTGGCGCTCTCTCGGGTAATAGATTCGGAGGTGGTAACGGTGGCAATGGTAAGGCTCGTGTTTCCTCTACACGGCTTCTTTCTCAGCAAGCCGTGTGGTCCAACTAACATCTCTAATATGTAGCTCGGAGAGATGCTTGGCAGTTCAACCCGGATGATATCCTAAACGACCTTGGAGCTGGCAAAGGTCGACCAAAGTGGATTCTGTCAGCATATGGGCCAGGCAGAAATCCTCCGGCTTCGCTCTTGGTCGAGAACGAATTTAGTTCCGAAGAAGTGCGTGCGAGGTTCTACGAGTTGGCGAGTCAAGGCAAGGAAAACGAAGGTGACCAAGAAGCCATAGCCTTGTGGAACAAAGCCGAACAGAGTATCAACCAGATCCTCAGCAATGCGCGTGATGTCGAGAAGTTTGTGCTCGACGCCGAGAAGAAGCACCCCAACAGAGACGACTTCACGCAGATGGATGGAACGAAATCGAGGGATCAATTTATCAAGGACTTTGAGTCGCAATCCGCTGGCTCGAATGCGTTTGGCGGAGGGACCACTACTGGTGGAGGATTTGGCACCAGCTCAACGACAAGTCCTTTTGCGAAACCCGCCGCATCATCGTTTGGCCAGCCTGCCCAGGCCTCCGGGTTTGGGACTTCTCCTTTCTCCAAACCAGCCTTTGGGCAGAGCGGCTTTGGGACGGGAAGCTCAACAAACAGCCCATTCGGGAAGCCTTCAATTGGGTCGTCATCAAGCCCCTTTGCAAAACCCGCTTTTGGAAGTCCTGGGTTCGGTCAGTCGTCATTTGGTCAACCTTCGCAACCAACCTCTAGCTTTGGACAGCCCTCACAGCCTACTTCGACATTCGGCCAACCATCTCAGCCCTCTTCTGGGTTCGGACAACCAGCATTTGGTTCCTCGGGCTTTGGGTCGACTCCGCAAAAGAATCCTTTTGCGCCAGCTACAGCATCAAGTGGTTTCGGCCAGACTCCCTCCCCTTTTGGTCAACCCGCTCAGTCTGGTTCAACGTTTGGACAGCCTTCACAGCCCACATCGGCCTTCGGACAACCCAGCCAGCCCTCTTCGACTTTTGGACAACCCAGTCAACCTGCTTCAACTTTTGGTCAGCCTAGTCAACCTTCTTCGGCTTTTGGACAACCATCGCAACCCACGTCTGCATTCGGCCAGCCATCTGCGTTTGGTAAGCCCGCGTTCGGTCAACCAGCCCCAGCCTTTGGACAGGCACCCCAGGCTACATCTGGCTTCGGACAGGCACAAGCATCCACTACCTCGCCTTTTGGTCAAGCTGCGTCGACTTCAGCTGGATTTGGCCAGACCGCTGCTCCCGCGTTTGGGCAGACTGGTGTGGGTTCCGGCTCGACACCAGCATTCGGCCAAACCACAGCTCCGGCGAACCCTTTCGCCCCCAAAACTGCAGAAGCCCAGCCCAAAGATGAGAACATGGACACAACCACCCCCGCGCCTTCACGCCCGGCTTCCCGGGCAAATCCTTTTGATACAACATCTGGGCCAGCCACGGCGCCTCAGCCATTTCAAGCAGCCCCTCCCACGTCCCAGCCTCCGCCGGTCGCCAAACCCATCATCAACACTTCGACAACTCCTCATCCGCTCATCAACCGGCCTCCCCACGCCGTGCACTACACTCAGACCCTCCCACTCCAACCACCTCAAAAAGACGTCTCTGGTCGCATCACTTCCTACCGCGGCCAACGCGTTGAATACATCAACTCCATACCGTGCTATCGCCGCCCTGATGGTCAAGGCATGGAGAAGATCTGGTTTCCAGACGCCGGAGCCACTCCCGACGTTGTGGCGCTGAACAGGGAGGATAAGATCGAGGACTGCCAGGGGGGGAAGGACGAATACACGGCCGAAATTTTGGATCGCTACAAGTACTTGTTTTCCGAAGGCAGGTTTTTGGACGGCAAGATTCCCTTGGTGCCGCCTTTGAGGGAGTGGGGGGTTTACGACTTTTGAAACTCCAGGACTTGCGTGCTTGTGGACTAGGGGATATTTGGGCAGTTCCGGAAATGTATTCAGTAGCGTTACACACAAGGCGGACAGACAATTAGAGACACGCAAAGGTGCAGGCACTACGAAGGAATCGTGCTCATGTCGGGACGTGTACGTGAACGCGTAGGGGCAAAAGGCATACAGCACACGAAATCCTTTGCTCGGCAGGTTTCCTGCTCATTTTTATTGCGCGACATTAGATCTTGTCTTGCGAATGCGGGCGCACTGATCCAGCCGTTGCCCCCGGCAGGAGAAGAGCCAATGCATCTCTCGACGCCTGGTTCACGGGCATACGACCGTCCACACCGTTTTTGACCTATTCTCTTCTATTCCGACCATCGTCGTCTCCGTCTCAGACGATGCGAAAAATTCCACGCACGAAATCTCATGAGATGTCATCTCTCTCCTGTCAACCAGAACATTCTCTTATGCCGCGATGGTGACCTCGACCTCGACACCGGCCTCGATGTTGATGATGATCTGCTTGACCACCTCGGTCGGCGCGTTCAGGTCGATCAGCCGCTTGTGGATCCTCATCTCGTACATGTCCCACGTCTTGGAGCCCTCACCGCAGGGGGTCTTGCGCGTCGTCACCTTGAGCGTCTTGGTCGGCAGGCGCACGGGGCCCTTGACGCGGAGGTTCTTGGTTTTGGCGCGGTCGAGCAGCTCCGTGCACACTTTTTCGAGAGACTGCACCTTGCGCGAGGTGAGGGTGATGCGGATTTTGTGGATTTTCTGTGGCACGCATGTTAGTCATCCGGTTCAGTCGTTCTGCTGTCGCTCCGGTCTGGATGTTTCCAATTGCAGACGGACGGACGTGGAGATGGGGGGAGAGGGAAACGCACTGGGCCTTCGCCGAAATCCTTCTCGGGCTTTTGGAAAGACATTTTGGTTGTGATTTTTGTGGGACGCGGTGGTGCTGTTGAGTGAAGGGGTCGGAGAGAGTGTCGGCGCCAATCAAGACCTGAACGACTGGGTTCGGTAAAGTGATGAAAGGCTGGAGAAGGGAAAGCAGGAATAGAAGGGCGGTGGTTGCGAACTTGTCTGCGACATCTTTTTTTCGATGCCGCACAGTGCGATTGAAATCTTGGCGGCGGGTTGAGCCGATTGAGACTAAGCCTGTTATGGAATGACTCTCCAAAAGTTCAGTCACCACCACTCTCAGCAGTCATTTACGAATGATGATGAAGGTGACTTTTTCCTTTTTTTTTTTTGGAAAGGTATCTCTTTGATCCGACTCTCAATCCAGCTCGAAAGATAGACTTGGCACAATTGCCGTCAGCTGGAAATGGACCAGGTCCCAGGCACTCAGCAGGGTGGCCTCCCCCCATTAGCCCTGTACCCGGAATCAAGCGTCAAAGCCAGCCTGCCGCCCGCTGAGTGGGATGCGTGTCTTGACTCATGGCTGCTCAGTCTGGAATTCCGTCTCCGACTGCCAGACAAAGATTTCTCCAAAATCGGTTTTGGCGAGGATGCCAGCGGCGTGGTCTTTCTCGCGTCGTTCTTCAGGTCAGCTACTCGGGCAATGGACACGACACAGCCGCCAAGCCTCCAGAAGGAAAGACTGTTGCTGAAACGCGCGTATTTGCTCTGGAGAAGGCTCCTGCTGGTCACGGCTACGCCTTTCAACTACGACAAGGCGAAACTCGTAGAGCTGCTATGTCAGGCGAGCATGCTCTACGCAACCGTGTCGGACTGGAAGGTGACGCTGAAGACGACGTGGAAGAGGAATCAAGCCCAAATGACAAACGTAGTCGAGGGCTGGAAGAAGGCTGTCTCGGCGGATCTTTCGGCGTCACCTAACTTGGGAGTGCTTGTGGGTCGACTGCGTGAAATGAATGCGTTTGTCAAGGTCTCAGCCGACGCAGGCCTCGTTCTTATGACGGGCTCAGATTACCTCGAGACGCTGATGGAGGCCTACGGTCGATTGCAGACATTACCTGATGCAGGCTTGCCCCAAAGAATACTGACCGAGCACATCTTCTACTGTCTGCGCAGCCTGATGTCCGATGGTTCTGCCCATGGACCGCTACTGCTGGACCACCTTTATTTCATGAAATCCGAGACGGACCGACTCACAAGGTCAAAAGTCAATGGGCCGACTTTGTCCTCGAGCCTGGTTTGCAGTACATCTTTCTTGAGACATCTTGCATCAGACCCTTTCGTGGCTGGTAGTAAGCGAGGTCAGGGGTTGTTGGAGTCACTCAACATCTATCGACAAAATACCAGGCATTTACACCCCCCAGTTGGGCCCAGAAGGCGCAAAGTGGCAAAAGGTAAAGGCAAGGCCGATGCGAACGAAGAGATGCACATTCACAAGGCCTCGCAAATATCACAAGTCCATGACCTCTTTCCAGACCTTTCAAATCACTATATCCTCAAGCTCCTCGACCACTTCCATGATGACACCGACGCTGTGGTGGCGGCGCTATTGGAGCCAGATTCTCTTCCAGCTGGACTCCGTGATCGGGATGTCTTTGAAGGGCCTGACCTTGAGATTGCTGGACCCGCGCACGATCTTGCACCACATTCCACACCGCCGCAACTTCCAGAGAGGAAGAACATATTTGCTGGAGACGATCTAGACAGACTTCAGATATCTACAAGTCGGCTGCACAGAGGGCAGAAAGATGTCAAAATTGACCACGCCGAAACAGAACATGAGCATGCACAACGAAAGGCGGCAATTCTGTCAGCATTGGCAGCCTTTGACTTGGACGATGATGAGCGAGACGACACATACGATATCGCCGATGTGGGCGGAACAGTGGATTCCACTCTGGACACTGACACCCGGCCGCAACCAGAAAGAGGACAAGAGCAAAATCCCCACGAAGAGAAGTTGTTCCGAGCGTGGAAAGGCAACCAGGAGCTATTTGCACGAGACAGCAACACCCGTATATCCAAGACACGACAAGATCTCAAACGCGAGACCAACATGAGTGATGAACAGCTGGAAGGATGGGCTATTATGCTGAAGAGGGACCCTAAACTGCAAGATCGCCTAGAAAAGAAATACTCGGGTACGCCAGGTTTCAGAGGAAATCAAGTTGCACTTGCTTCGACGCGATGGCAGGGCGACAATACTCCTGAGGGCAGTGAGGGAGAGGCGGAGAGCGGAGGTCGACGAATTCAGGCGCAACCCAGGGGAAACCGCACCTGGGGACGTGGTCGCGGTGGCAATGGTGGTACTGCAGGTCCCAGCGGTGATGCAGCGACTCAGGCTGCCAGGAAGCGAAAAGAACAAGGTAGAGGCAGAGGGGGAGCGAGCCACAACAGACGCGAAGGGAGAGCGCGGAAGATGGGCAGAGGTATGGGAGGAGGTATGGTATAGCGATAGAGACTAGGGTATGGAAGTCTGTGTGTGTGGGTGATCAACACAATTCGCCAGGCGACTGCGAACGGTCGATATAGGTCCTGAAGCCAAAAACCAAAAGCCAATGTGGTAGAAGAAGAACGAGAGATAGAAGTAGAGAAACAAACAAAGGGATGCATATATCATACCCCGGTTAAACCTTCCGTTTTGGGCGAGGCGACTCTTTGTTTGGCAGGAGTTTGTTTCATCCGCAAATCGTCACTTTTGACACTGGCGGGTGTCGCATGCCCCTGCTCCTCAAACAATTTCTCTTCTTTCCATGGATCTTTCTTGACGCTGGCGGAGCCCCTAGCCGATCAAGCCGTCCTCATCCACTATCATATTGGATTTTAGACGCAGAGACCACATGCTCTTCTAGAAAAAAAGGAACGAAAACGGGTGCGGTGGCTGTGGTGACAAATCTTCACCTCTGAACCCACCAGACATTAGAGCGACAGGGGGATCTGTTTGTACCATTGTTCAGAGTTGCCGCCAGGAATAACACTTAGGAGGCATAAACACCTCTGCATATCCTTACCCTTTGCCTCCTAAGCCGATCTGCCCCAGGACGATATGCCACTCAGATCACAGACTGTCACCCTATAGATCGACGGACTTGGAGATGACAGACCTAGCTACGGCCAACGGCACCACAAATGGAGCACACCAACATTCTTACGACACCTCCAATATCCTGGAAGCCTTACAGGTCATCCACAATCCCACCACCAAGAATGAGGTTAGGAGGCAAGCTTCAGAGTTCCTGGAGAATCTGAAGTTGAGCAATGAAGCGCTTCAGTATGGGTGCGCCCTCGCAAGTGACAAATCGCAGCCACCTCTGGTACAACATTTCGGACTTTCGGTGCTCAGTCACATCGTCCGGCATGAGGTTCACCATCTCTCAGAGCAGCAAATGAATCAACTTCGAGAATGTATCAACGAACTGGGCCGGTCGATCCGGGACACGGAACTTGTCTTCATCCGCAACAAGATAGCTGAGCTATGGATCGAATTGGCCAAGCGCTATTGGGCTCTGGATATGTTCGGCTTGGACGAGCAGTTGGTGTACCTCTGGGAGCAGGATCTTGTGCGCAAGGACTTTGTGCTCACAATATTGGAAAACTTGTCTGAAGACATATTTGTTCGGGACGATAGTGTTGCCATCATGCGCGGGCGAGAGTTGAACTCTGCACTTGTCGAGATCTTCACATCCAGCTCAAACTTCGCAGGAGGCATCAAAATCGGCGATACCACCCACCACATGCGCTTTGGGGAGGATGGATGGCTCAGCAGGATCACGAAATTCCTTGAGGAAGCGATACAGAGCCCCAGTGTAGAGGGACAGCTGAAGGAAGTCGTCCTGAAAGCTCTCGCCACTATACGCTCCGCCTTCACCTGGGTCATGACACCAGCTATTGTTCATTCAATGGCTTTAGCAGTGACATGTGGATGCCTCACCCAGGCAGATCCAGATCTCATCATGGCTGCAATGGACAGTCTACTGTCGCTGTACGGAAGAGTCCGACTAGAAGAGCTCGAGGTGCAAGCTCTCGTGCATCCTCTCATCCAGCCAGACAGTATCGCCACATTCAGACAACTATACAGCTGGTCTATTGTTTCGGTAGATGAAATGGACAGCAGCAAATATGTCATTTCGAAAAAACTCTCAGAGTTGATGTCGTTATTTGCAGATCACATGTGCCAATACAAACCCCCAGAACCCAGCACCCTCGACCTTTTTCCCTTTTTACGCTTCTTGACCATGGTGGCAGAACACGAAAGCTTGATAGTCTCGATCCCAGTCGTTCACTCCTGGGTCAAGATACTGGAGGTACAGAGCTGGCGAACAACTGCTGCTGTATCTCAATGTGTTGGCCCGCTTCTGGAGGTGGCCTCACAACGACTCATGCAATACGATCAGCTCCCCGATGATACTCGGGAGCCCGTTGTGGTATTCGTGAATGAGGAGATTGAGCTCTTCCCGGAACGCCAGGGATTCTATATGAACTACCGCAGACTATGCTCGGCTGTCATTGAATGGATATGTTTCGCACAATTGGAAGATGCGCTTCAAGCCGTGATGAATCGAGTTGACGCTCTCTTAAACGAGATCGAAGCGGCGGAACAACACTTCGACATCACGAGTTATGAACGCGTCTCCATGCATCTCCTACGTGCTGATGCCTACTTTGCCATGGTTGATGCTGCGTTCAAAGGGTTTGATCGATGGCAGGACGCACACCGAGAAGTTCCAAGCCCAGAAGAAGACCAACTGGTGCAAAGAATGCGGGAAGAGACCAAAGCGTGGGTGCTGAACATGATGAAAAATCGACACTTCAAAGACCCGCAAATCAGACAACGCCAGATCAAGACGGTAGTCGAAGTTTCCAACCGGGCTCTGAGAAAGGACACGGGATTCGCCTTTAGCGTCCTGGAGCACATATTGTCGTCCTTTATCATCATTCGACAACAAGATTCCAGCTATGCGGATGCTGTCGAGGACTTGCACAGCTATGCCACGAGCGAGTTAAGACGCCTGTCGTTGCAACATGCAGACTATTTTGTCACCTTCTATGACCAGCTACAAGCGAAATTCTCGGATCTAATAAATCAGATCAGTGCCAGCGAGCGACTGCAGGTTGATCTGAAGTCTACGCTCTTCTCTGTCATCCAACATGCGACAGGGGTCGACTACACCCACCGTCAAGCTAAGCTCGAAGAGTTTCTTCAACCCATTGCGGCAGCCTGGGCAGACCAAAATTTCCAGTCCGCTCTGGGCAGTCTGGAGTCCTTTGCTCATTTTCAAGGGTTTGATCAGATTGGACCGTATCTGGCATCTCTGGGAGCGGGCAAGATTGAGGATTGGTCTGCAGTTCCCTTCGACAATCGTGGGGTGCAGATACAGAACGAAATGTCGTCTGCCTACGCCAGGTTACCTCTTCGAGCCACGCGGATTTTCTTAAGCATATCAACCGAGAGACTGGAACAAGGTTCTCAGCTCCATAGTATGATATGCGACCTGTGGTCACCCATGGTCCCAACGATGCTGGAGTATGTTCTCCGTCTTACGAGCTATAATCACCAATTGCACAACCCCTCATCATGGCCGAATGTACCTCCTGAACTCGAGGGCGTCATTCGACGAGTTCTCCGAGACCGATACTGGCAATCGGGTATCTCGTCCGGCTCCATGGGTGAGTTTCACAGCAGGGTCAAGGCCTCCAGGTCCACGCTCGAGGGATTTGCATCGTCAGTACGAGGGAAAATACGTGGATATCTCGAACAGTGCTACAGCATCCTCCATACACTGGGCAGGCTAGGCACGACCTTCTATAGCATGCAGCAACTCCCCGAGTTGATCGCACAAGCCGCCATTGATTCAGCAGTCCCGCTAAGTCCACATCATTTCGCGGTCATGCTTCAGATGCTGCCCAAATTGATTGACGAATGCCCGCCGGGAAGTCGGCAACATTTCCTGACTCCAATCATATCGTCTGTCCTTGTGCAGATGGACATCAAGCTATCAACCGAGTGGGAGAAGATGAACCAGCGCAAGCAGAATAAGCACGATGAGGAGAACCTCAGCGACGAGATGAGAGATGACTCGGTGCTGCGGCAGACTACCTATCGGGCTGTCAATCTGGTTGCACACTGGTTGCAGCCGAGGCGCGAGCAGGAGCTGAGCTCGAAGAAGTCGATTGTCAATCGCAACTATCTGACGGACGGCACTCAACAAACAATGCGGGATTTCTTACTCTCGCACGTACATCTCCTGGAGAAGCTGCTTGTCCTCATTAACCATGCGCTTGCGTTCAAGGATATGAAATCGTCTTACCAGATGCTCATGACCGCGCACCGTCTTGTTCCAGAGTTTGCGTCCGACCGTTTTGTTAGTGGCGAGGAGGCTGCCGCCGTGCGCGAGTACATCTCGACGGATATGCTCAAGACGGCAATCACTTGCTTGAACGATGGCTATTTCGCCGATCAGCAGGTCTACTACGCCCAGCTGATCGCGACGATCTGGCTGTCGTACGGTTTGCCGAATCACGTCCCCGCCACAGAAACCACGCCCGCTCACGAACGTCCGTCGTTGACCCCGACGCCCCGGGACGTGATCCTCAGCCTACCAGGCATGACGGAGGCGAAGGTCAATCACGCATCTACATTGCTTCTCAAGGAAGCATCGCTGGGCAACCGGTCCAAGAGGCTCCGAGCCATTATACTCGCGCTGCTCGAAGGCGTCAGGGGGGTCCGGGTCAGCGAGCTCGGCAAGATCGACACGAGACAGCAGCAGTCGAAGATCCTGGAGAAGTACAAGCAACGAGAGATGCTGAGCATGCAGGGCGTGGAAGACGGGGGACGGAAGGTTGTTGGTGGTGGTGGCGGTGGTATCGGGGACGACGGAGCTGATTTGGCGGGAGTCGCGGATATGTTTGGAAGCTAGCTAGAAACTACCTGCTCACGAGTCAAAGGGGCCAACGGACGATGATTAGTGACAAGATACGTCGGTACACAGGGTAGGTAGGTGCATGTAATCGCCCGTTGGATACCGCGAGGTGGATCGCACTGCCAACGCAGATATCTATATGAAGCTCCAAAGGGGGGGGGGGGGGGGAAACGTGGCCAGCCCTTGTCGTCAGAGATCGGTCTTGTGGGCTTCTCCTCTGCACTGGCTCTACTCTAGTAGATGATGATAATCTGATCTGATCTGTTATGAGTATGATTGATTGATTGACGGGCCTTTTCTGTTCCAATGGTGTGTCTCTGTATCGTGAGAGATGTTTTTTTGTGGTTTATTCTATGTATGTACATGTCGGGGATTGGTAGGGATCATCCCACACACGCGTGTCCTGATTCCATCCCTTCGTAGGGCTCTCGCTTTCGCTTTCGCGCCTCGTTGACTCTTGAATCTTTGGGGATGTGAGATGTGGATTTGCGTTGCTCGCTGCTCGCTGCTCGAGGGTGACGATTATCCATCGCTTGATCGGAGAGCAAGGCTCGGGACGCCGTCAATATCAAAATCTGCCGCCTCATTCCACCGTTCTGTTGGGTGTGGCTGTAAATGTCGGTCTCACGAATCTGTGGTTGGAAGCAAGGAATGTTAGCATATCCTCTTCTCGAGTTGTTTTGGGACCTTTTGTGTTTTTCCTCGTGGTCTTCTTCTCGCTCTCGTTTCTCCCTCCTTCGTTTCTCCCTCCTGGCCACGGAAGACTTCCTCTGATGTCGTTGAATCTCCATCTTCTGCGGAATAACCCGATCCAGTCCAGCTCCCACCCGAAGGAGACCACAACGCATCAAAAAACAAAGCACGGGGAAATGGACGAAAGCGTACCGGTCACTGTTGTAAGCCCCGCTCTGGCTGCCGAGCAGCTCCTTCTCCCTGGCCAAATCCGCATAGTATCTCCTGACCTGGTCCCGGTCCTCCTCGGCCTGCAGCAACGGCGTCAGGTGTATCCGACTCCACATCTTCTCGCGGGCCATTTCGTGTTTCTCGCGCTGTCCGACAAACACCTGGCGCCAGCCGTAGGCCATCACGGCCCCGACGCCGACGAGGTACCAGACGGGTTTGAGGCCGCGCGTGGGTATGTTACGCTGCGGGGGAAAAACGAGAGGACAGAAAATGTTAGTGCGCTGTTTCTTCTTCTTCTTATGCTGCTGCTGCTACCAAACGGGTTGGGGTTGGGGGCAGGGGAAGGGGAGGAGAGTGTAGGGAAGACGGGTCTGGTGGAGGCGCGAGAGAGCTTGTAGACGTACTCTGTATTGAACGGCTTCGTAGCCGCCCGTGGGCGGGAGGTCCTGGGGCATCCTCTAAAAGGGCTGGCTGGTCCGGTTGGGTGTATCGCGACCTACATGCATAGACAGGACGAATGCAGTGGTGAGAGAGGAGCTTGAAATATCGAGATGAGGTCAATTGGAGGACGAGGCAGGCCGCAGGTCGAGTTGGGGTTTGGCCAATTTTGGGCTCAAATAAGCTTAAAGCAGCAGCACGTGCGCATGCTAGGTCGGAGCATTAATACCTCTCCAGTGGCTAGCGACTACATAATTACCATTCAGGTGAATTCTATTCGCTCCGCGTTTGCTTCCATCCTACGGAAGCCACTCAATCCCAGTTCTCCTCGGCTGCTCCTCGGCTGCTCCTGTGTAGCATGGCTTTTAATCAGAGAAAGGCCACAATAGGGAGATGCAACGTACTCTCGAGGTTGCCAACATGATAATTTGACTGTCCTCCTCCACCAAGGCTGAGGGAACTCTCTTCTTACATCATGACTAACCATATCATGTTCAGCACTGCATCGCTTACCTGGACAGACCAGCAGATCCGGGACCTCTGCCGCGAGCATGTTTCAACGACACAGCTATCCGAATGTCCCTACTTCCACGCAGATCAGTAGTACATCAAGTGGGGAGCCACGGTGAACGTCGACAAGGCTCTCGTGCAAAACTATGTATGGGAACGCACACAAGAAGCGTCGTTCCGAGTGCCCAAGGTGTACTACTACTTTTAGGACCAAGAGCCTTCCCTCACTTGGGGCTTACGCTGTGGGTTTCTGGTGAGGGAATCCATCTCAGACGACACTGATGAATTCACTGATCCTCATCTGCTGGCGCTGCCTTCCTCGATTTGTGGAAAATTCCAACGCCGGATTGAGTTCGACACAATTTGCCCTTGGGCTCCTGGTTCCGCACCCCCCTGCTCAGGCAGTCAAAACTGCTGCTTGGAGACGCAAATGAGTGGACTAATTGAACCGAATGGCTCACTCATGACTTACAGTAAATGGAGTGATTCCTGAGAACCTGACGGATAATAATTCAGGTAGGCAAGTACGCTGGTAGGCTAAGATACGGCGAGGGCTGAGGACGTAGGAGGCATAGATCTTGGCGTCCATAGAAGAACCCCTTTAAAAGCGGCGGCAAATTTGTCCGCGACCTGCGTTGTACTGGAAAAAAGTTTTGGAAAGGCTTTAGACGTTCACATACCCTGGCGACTAATTCTGACTGTTGACACTTCGCTATGGAGGCAGAGGAGCGGCCTGCAAAGCTTCGAAAGCTCAACTCTAACGATGACACCGGTTCAGCTGAAGACGCGGGTACTCCTCTGTTGTCAAAACTACCTGGCACGACCAATGGCGCCGCAGATGCTCCGTTGTTGCAGAACAGTAAGCCAGAGGAGGAGTATACTGCTAATGTTGAAGACTCTTCAGTGAAGCGACAACATGGAGGAGAATTCATCCCAGACGAGTCGGAAGGCCTGGACGTATCCCCAGGAACCTTACCAGATGATACCCACACGCTCCCTGCGCTGCAGCATCCGCAAGATGGCGACCTCCAAAAGCCGCTGTCCAAGAACCAGTTGAAGAAACTACGAAAGCAACAAGAATGGGAGGCTTCCCGAGATTACCGTAAGGCGAAGCGGAAACAGAAGACACAGGAGAAGAAGGCGAGGAAACGGGCCGCCCGAGAAGAGGAGGAACAGCACGGTCTCCAGACGCTGCAACAGTCTCCCGCTGTCGACGGAGGGGATGGAGGAGTTGACGGGACAAAGATGAAGACAATCCCAAATCCTCCTCGGGTACCTCCGAAGATGAAACACCGTCGGTCTATCCAGGTTCCCGTGACCATCCTTATAGACTGCGGCTTCGACGATCTCATGTTGGACAAGGAACGCATATCGCTGGGCTCGCAACTCACGCGGTCTTACTCTGACAACTCGCGCTCGCGGTATCGGGCTCATCTTGTGATCTCCTCTTGGGGTGGACTGCTGAAGAACAGGTTCGACACAGTGCTAAACAAGCATTATTTGAACTGGAGGAATGTCACGTTTGTGGAGGGGGATTTTGTCGAGGCGGCGAAGAAAGCTGACGAGTTGATGAAAGGGCCTGGAGGCGGCAATCTCGTCGGTTGTTTTGAGAAGTACGCTGCTGCTGCTGCTCCACAAGCTGGTGCTGGTGGCCCAGTTTCCGCCGTTCAGGGCGAAACATCCAACGTTGCCAGTGGATCAGCAACCTCTGTTGGATCCGATCAGGTCGAGCAACCGGCCGCAACAGACGGTACTCCCAGCGACCAGCAACCATCAGCACCCAAGGATCCTCAAACCACCCAACCCAAAATCCTGCATTCTTCTCCGCCGACAGACCCATCTGCCCCTCCCCCCAGCGAAGTCATCTACCTCACCTCCGACTCGCCCGACACCCTCACCACCCTGTCCCCCTACTCGACCTACATCGTCGGCGGCCTGGTCGACAAGAACCGCCACAAGGGCATCTGCTACAAGACGGCCCGGGAGCGCGGCATCAAGACCGCCAAGCTGCCCATCGGAGAGTACCTGGAGATGACGTCCCGGAAGGTCTTGGCCACGAACCACGTCGTCGAGATCTTGCTCAGATATCTCGAGGAGGAGGACTGGGGCAAGGCGTTTTTGAGGGTCATTCCGAAGAGGAGGGGGCCGGTTGAGGGAGGAGAAGGGGGGGGGGGGGGAGGGGGAG